TAAAGGAAAAGAGCTCATACTTACGTTACATATAGTATAAACGAAAAAACTCCCTGCAATCATTAGGAACAAAACTCGGAGTGAACTACCAAGTTTTTAACTAATGAAGTGTAGGTAACTCAGCTAGAGTTACTCTAAGATAAATTCATACGTGAATTTATTTTAGTAAAAAACATTCAGGACAAATTGGCTAACGATTTAAAATACCTTAAATTACTATGACCCTTTTTTGGAGGGAGAAGGGTCCTGAGTGGAGATATATATCATGTAACTAGCAAATTTTATGACATTTATGCTTTCTGAAATAACTCAAAAAATTGGAAGAGTAACTTTAAAAAGAAGAATTTTTCTTTAAATCAATAAACCTGTTCTGTTGAAAGCTATCATTATAATATTACTAGTCAATTTGAGAAGAACAGATAGGTTTATTTTTATTATTGTCAATATAACGGAATCTTTAATCAATATCTTCGACTTACCGGCAATTTTAACAGTTATCAAGTCTTTTCTTTGTAATTACATGATCTATAAGTACTTCAATCTTTCTCTTTCGCCTAACCTTGACTACTTCAGACATCGAGCTTTCAGACAGAAATTGCATAGGCTATGCATATGTTTTTCATCAATTTCACACGAACTGCGTTTCTTTTGAATCGATTATGATTATTTTACATACAAATTACAAGCTCAAAGCAAGTTAAATTTTCATCAGAAATCATGCATGAAAAAAATGTTTTATACTTTTTAAACTTTTCTGCATTTTTCCAAAATCTGTTATTTTACCCATTACACTAGTAACAGATATTGTGAAGTTATGATATTTATTTATTTATTTAGGACGCAGTCCGTCCCGCCTGACGAGCAAGTTATGAAATTTAATGTTATTGAATTCGTAACAGCTCAGTCGTTCTTAGCGTGCGGAAGGCAGCTACCAAACCCAAGGGCTTGAGTCCAAGCGTAAGGCAAGGGCGGATGTTACGACTACCATGCCTACAAGAAACAAGGAGCATAAAATTTGTCAGTCCAAAATTCTTCTCAAGTGGTTGCTGGTTATAGCATTGAAAAAAAACAGGTACTATCAATCGGATTGCTACTATCGCTACTACCAATGCTCTAAAATATATGATCAACAAAAACTTACATACGTCTTCCTAGCTCTTTTCCAGCTGAAGTAAAATATAAAAGAAGCACAGAATTTTACTGTTTAGCAGTTTGCCTTTTAATGTGGCATGAATCGATAGGATTGGAAATTTCAAATTCTGTATGCGATACCATGTTATAATGAATATATATGCAACCTACAGTATAATTAGAGATTTGTGCGCATGATATCTCGTCGCATTATAAACCAGTTATCTAAACTGAACTGAATTCAAAACCAACACATGAATGGAAAATTACCTTATACGAGTATTAGGCCATGCCACACGCGATATCTTGTAATACAGTAGATATCAGCTGTCTCTTTACATAAAATTATAAGTACTTAGAGGTTCAGATCGTCAGGACACACCTTTCCGTCACGAAACGAAATACAGAAAAAAGAAAACTGAGGCACCGGAAATTGATGAAACTCTGTCAACCATATGGCGTTATCTTTCAAATTTTAATAATGTATTGTTTAAGGAAAGCGCACAGTAAACCCATACACACTTCTTAACAGTATTTTGATACTTCTCAGTAGCAATAAGATCGTTAATAAAATATCTGCCGTTTGAATAAAAGTTATTATATATAATATACAGTTATTTATATATATTTATCAAATAACTTGGCGTAAAAAATTGAGGGGGCAATCAGAGTAGATATTATAAAAATTATAAGACTCAAAGGTATTTATTTAGGATGGTCAATATTCTTCACAGTTTTTTAACCAGTTATTTAACTTTAGGAAATATATACTATTACCTATATTTTTTAATTCAAAATTTATTTAAGACCTCGTATTATATAACATTAAAGAATTACTTTCAATTTGAGCAGCAAAGAAAACCTGAAATATGAAATTGCGAAAAAGACCAAAAGAAAACTGTCATCTTAAAAAAATCAGATCACTTTTACGTAATTAGAATAAAAACTTAAACAAAATGAGTCAAACACATGGAAAGAAGCATAATGCATTGGATTGTTCATAAATTTCTCCACCTGCTATATAAATGGTTTTTGACAAAAGTGCCTGTTTGTGCATCATCAAGATTTTAATCTTAAAAATTGGACAGATTAATTTTTATTAATCACTCACTAATTCAATTGAAAACTAAAAACATAAGAACAGTTTATATCATCATTGCATTCTTGTTATTGTACGTTTAGCAAGTTGTTCTGGGAATTCTCCAGATAAATTATTCTTTTAAGTAAGTTAATCTAAACTTTATATTGTTACTTCAAGATTAAATTATACTAAAATGTTGTGCATTCATTTCATAGTTACAAAATTGTAGTTTATAAAAGCATATTAAATTTTATTTTTTTTTCTGGATTTCTATAAATATTTTACTTCTAACAACCTTTTTCAGCCCAAATAATGAAATACTTGATAATTTTTAGGGGCAGAATTAACCATGGAAAAACATAACAATTCTAGCAACTGAAATGTTTCTTATTTCAGCTATCTTTCCTTTTAGTATTGAAAAGGCTTCTTAAAATAACGCAAAAGAAACAGAAGCTTCGAAAGAGAATAACATTCGATTTTGTCTCTGGTTACTTGTGAGAAACAACTTATTAATTAGGTTCTTTGGAACTCTCAGAGGACGTTATTTTTAGCTTTTTGCTAACTCGCATTTCAAATGAATTTCGGACTCTCTGGCAGAGTTTAATAATTTATAAAAATTTAATTTTGTTTTGGCTTCAAAAATAAATGACTCAGTGGACTTATAAATGCAACAGCCACTGCTCAACTATCTTCACTACCAATTATAAATTCTGGAAAGAGGATTAAAATTTATTCAAAATCTGGCTCGATACGAAAACTGATAGCATTTGAGAATAGCATCGTTTGACTTCCAAAATATGTTAATATTTTCTTAATTAACCTGTCTCCTAAACGGAAAAAAAGTGTTGAATTTTATTAACTCTTAAAACTCAAGCTAGCACAAATTACTGTGCACATTACACAGCAATACTTAAAAGCAAATGCCTCATGTAGTAATAAAAGGTCTTCCTACCGTTATGAATGAATACGGGTAATTCAGTTATTCATATGAATGTCAGAGTCGGTTAATTAATGAATGTACAGAGTTTTATGGTTGTCTACCAAAGACTACTGATAGCCCATGGAAAATATATAAAGGCCAAGAGATATAATTACGTTACATCAATGGAAAGTATGTAGCCAGCCTTGTTGGAAACAAAACCAATATTCTGCACCTTTTAATTTAAAAAAAATGCGCTGAATCTTTACTGGATATTTTACAAATGATAAAAGGATTTCAATAACTTCATAAAGCTGGTTCGCGTAAAGTTGACTAAGGTCATCACCAGCTTAAATAGCAAGCCCGGTACTTATAAAATATTCAATCATTTTTAAAACTCTCTTATGCCTAATATAATGCGCACAAGAGTATATTACAATTAATAAAATATTGAGAGATATCGTTACCTATAAAATAAGTAAGACTACGCTATTCAAAGAAGGGAGCGAGATATAGCGAACCATAGACGGAAAGTCAATGAACAACTAAATTGTCAGTTGATTTTTTTTTTTTTTGGGGGGGGAGGGGTATAAAGATAAGAAAAAAGAAAACTATTTTACATTTTTATGTCATGTTTGTAGCACTTGTTACGTTTAAATGGAATACTACAGCGTTTTCAGATTATTCTGATATTCAAATATTACTTCTTGAGGATAAATTTTATCAGCATGTAAAGTATTATTTTTTGTAATAATTGTGTGCAATTTTTTAATTATTGAAGAAGGGAATGAGAATCAAAAATTGAAAAACTGCTTTCGGCTGTCTTGAATAAATTCTAGCTTAGATGCACGGGTCAGTTTTTTTGGGCGGGAGGGGGTCAACTTCTTTGACAATTAAGTGATCACATTTAGAGGGCATAAATTTCTTCAAGTGCAGAAAGGTTAAAATATTTTTCTTCTCTTCTACAAAGAATAATTCTTTATTTATTATTTTCCTCAAACAAATAATTTAAGCAGATTTATACGTTTCTTTCTCTTAATGGAATTAAGCTTCTATAAAATTTCAAACAATGATTGATAATTTTGATATTTTTCATATTTATGGTCGTACAGCAAGTGCAGACTGACTAGAAAAAGAAAACTTGGATGCCTTTTTCCCAAAGCTAATTTACCCTGACAAGAAACTGAACCCTATAACATTTAACGCGACTTCATTAAATCTTCAATTAGTGGTAAAGAATACTGCAACTCTTATTCTAAGCATTCACAATGGACTTAATATACATAGTGGTTTTGGCAAAAGAATCCTTACAAAAAATTTCCAGGTTTTGGTACTAATGTTAGCACAACAGGCAAATGCATTTTTCGAGGTTAGAGTCAATTGAGATTAAAATGTGTACATGTACTTCTAATGAAAGTTGTTTCAGCGAAGTTTGTCAATACAAAAGACTTTTTTTTTACAATTCAATATAATTTGTACAATACATTCCTAATAGATAATTATGCATAAATAATAAATTCATATAACTAAAAATGAAAGAGGCGAAAAAATATTTGTATTCCTATGAACCACTTATATTAGTAATAAGAAAATCTCTAGACTGCTTATGAAATTTCATGAAATTATTAAATTAATTTTAACCAAATATTTCCATAAAAGAGCATTAAAATATCGCATACATGATTGTAGAGAACGAAGTTAAAATATCCTTAGACAACTTTAATTCATTTAATTCATTCAAACACGGCAATTCACTTCGGTACACTGAAACTCTAAAACTGTGATTATCATAAATAATAGCTATTTTCTGTGTGATCTACAATCCTGTAGTTTCTTCGATGGTTACTAAAAAGAATGAAAATATCTTACGTGTCGTCCACGTAGGCGAGACCAAAATATTCTTTTTCTTTGAGGCTGAAATGAGAGGCCACCATATCCAAAAGCTCGCCAGCATATAATTTGGGCTGAAAATAAAAAATATTAAAACTTGAAACTAACGTGCAATACCCTTATAGAGCTTGCAGTTCAAGCAACTGTAAAAAAGCAGTTATTTAAAACTAAAGCTTTTTACAAACAACCTCCAAACTTCAAACAAACTTTATTTTAACAATATTCTTTATCTTCAAGTTATTCAATTAAAATAAAGAACTTTTATGTAGTAAAACTATTCAACTTTTTAGGAAAATAGATTATTTGTAATAAAAATACTTTTATTTATTTATTTTCACACTTCCAGTTTGGAGGTATTAGTTTTGTATTATATGAATAGCAGATATTTCTTTTACACTATCAAGAAAAACCAAAATTTAATTATTTTTGTAAAGTTCATTCATTAAATGTAAAATAAAAAAATACTACTTCTGGTGAACTTTCAAATTTTAATACGTCATAAAATATACGTCATAAAACGACAAATAATACATTTTCTTATTTATTATTAAATTCTCTACTACTCTTTTAATTTTCGTTTTTCAAACAATTCTACAAAACATGATCAACGTTTTTCAGTCTTCATATTGATCAAAATTTTTTTAAACCAGCTAATAAAATACCATTTTCAAACATTTAGCGCTTCATAGCTTTTATATTCTGTCTTCTTTACTAAGGCATGACGATATATCATTTCATCTTAAAATGCACAAAACCTTTTTTTTTTTAAACACATTCGAAATAAAATATGAGTACTACTGACTTCAAAATAGACAACCGGAGCTAATAAAAACATAGTGCGTATTATTCTGAATATTTCTTCCCTCTCGGGCCCATCACGAAAATAAGACCTTTATTCATAATGAAAATTTTGAACCATAAATCTAAGCTCAAGACATACACCTTTCGATCTAAAAAATTACACTGTTATCAAATTTACTCAAATTTTAAAAAAGGATTTCATATAATAATGCAATATTTTCCCCAACTTAAATATTTTCGAGTATTTGTTTAATTACGACGTTTAAGACTATGATATGCCCAGAAAAGGCCATGATTTGGTAAGTAAAATTTTCTACCCTATTTTCATGAATATTTTGCCTATAATAAATGACTTTCAAAAACTGGATGAATTCATTTAAACTATATCTTGTTGTTCCTTCATGAAGCATCATATAAAGTCCAAGAAATTAAAAACGAAACAAATACAGGAAACCCAAATTTTATTAAAATTTTAACTTAAACGTCAGTTACTTTGTTATAATTTATAGATTTTAGATGCAGAGTTCAAAGATGCCAGAAAAAGTCCATTTAATGATTTTAGAAATCCAGAGCTTAAAATGAAATTTACTGCATGCAAGAAATCGATCTAAAAGTGTTATTATTTCGAGCATTTTTCAGAACTAACTAACTATTTGATGCAAATTCTGCAAACGTTTTTTAAAAAGCAAACGCAAAAAGTAATAAAAAAATAAGAGTGGAAAAAAACTAAAAAAGCAGCTGCAGCAAAATTGATGAATATGTTTCCAAAAAAACTTGCTAATGCTGCAAAAAATAGAAAATATGCTAATTAAGCGAAATAAGATTTTTATTAATTAAATTGTTACTGAAAAGCAACATTAAGCGCAAAAACATTAAATATCAATAATAAATCAAAAATATTTTAGCTTTGAATTATATTCGTGTTTTCACATTTTCAACAAGCGTGAAGACTTTGTTACAAACTAATGCAAACTAAACTGTATGTTGCTAATTTTTTTATATTTATTTTATACTATTTGGAATTTCGTACACATGTATTTTGTATCTTCTATTACTGTAAACTTAAAGATCTTCACTTTTCTATTTTGCATAATTTTCAGATTATGCATAACTATTTTATTTTGGTATATCATATAAAATCGCAAGCATATAACTGTTGATAGCTAGTAAATAGCTCTAAATGAAAGGAAGATACCATCTGCTGAAATCTGTTGCGCTTGGTAACAAAATGAGACTTCGTGTTAACAAAATGTTGCGGAATATAGTCAAATCAGACGATTAAAGAATGATCTGGAATATTCAGTATGCACTGTTTGGGACTAATCAGACGGAATTTACTAAACATTTCTGAGAAGTTTTATTCCTCCATCTTCGGTGAAATTATAAACTGGCATCTGTCAAGAGCTCATAGATCTTGTCTTCAGAACTCAGTTTAAGATGGTACTTCAAGCTTAATAAAAGATCTTACGACTATCGTTTCTTTTGTACGGATTTTTATATTTTCAATCTTCACTTCCCAGTTAAAGTGTCCTCGGTGATCGCGCTTGCTTTAGAATTTCTTTCTATTTGATGGATGATTTTGGAGGTACGATCAGTGTCACTGGAGTTATATTTCTATTCCTCTTGTCCACTGTACTAATTGTCATCCCTCTGAAGTTCTAATAAAGCTCAAGCTCTTATTTACATTCTACTTGCATGGGCGTTTTAGTAGTTTTCTCATATGCAACTTAAAACGAGCCGATTTCCCTTCAAAATTCCCCCACGTAGGCATTACTCTCCTTAGGTAGCTAGCAACAGCGCGCTTTGCCGTAATTAATTTATCCAATTACTTCTCCAGAATATAAAACACGAAACAGCCAATATGCAACAGAACTACTAAAAGTTTTTATTTGGATGGGATAAGTAGATACTTATTTCATATACATACGATAATGATGGTGATTTTAAAGAAAATCGGAGATTAATTAAATATATCCCGATGCCAATATTATGATGGCACAATTTTCTACTAATTCAGATAAAATAAGAATAGGGATTCAAGAAGATAATATGTGAAAATGAAGATATTCCGACGTAATAAGAATAGAAAACTACTCAAAGAAGACTTCATGGTATCAATATTGCATCTGTCGTTCTTCATTTCCTATGTATGATTCCTAGATAGAAGTAAATCTTTTGGGAAAAAAATAATAATAATAATAATAAAAATAATAAAAATAAATAAAAAAAAAGATTCCATACATGATTTGAAAACATTTATTTTGAACTTAATTACGCAAGGCAACTGGAAACAACTCTAATACTAATTCTCCTAAGGAGGGGTATTATCTATAGATAATTTAATTAAACTTTACTCTGTACTGGTTTCGTAAATAAATGATTGGAAGAATTAATAAATCTTAACTTCAGGGTGGATATAGCCAGTAAATGACTAGATTGATTTATTTAATACAGTTTTATTGTTAGCCAAATATCAACAATAAGGAATTAGATGACTTAATAAAGCTTTACTATATGCCAGGTACTATAAAAAAGCAACTTGCCACCAGAATTTATTCCTTTCATCCACTGTACAACAGCTTTTTCCGCAGTTCTTTGGTACAGGCAGAGAAAAACGTTATCAGGCTAATCTGTAGAGCATCGAATTAAGACACAAAAAACATCGTATTTAAATATACTAAGTATAATGTACAATCGCAAGATAACAAAAAAGTGTATAAACAATTAAAATGTCCTGGCCGTATAAATTATAGTAAGAAGATGCATTCTTTCTAAATTCCGTATGATTAAAAATGAGAGTATAAAATCTCATTTTCATTTCCAAACACTAGTATAAGGTTGCAACTGCATTTCGGCAGAATCAAACACGATTTCCCAAAAGATTTTAGAGTTAGGGACTGAAAACTTACCTTGATAAGAATGTCCAGTCGCCGCTCGTCAAGCAGAACCACTTGGCTCTGACGACCCTCGGACATCTAGAACAAAGAAAAAGAAAAGGTTCAGTCAAATAAAAACAAACCAAATATATACATGTAATACTTTTTTTTTTTACCATTCAAAACCATAGAAGGCGTGACATTCATAATAAAAGCAATTTATAAAATTCTACTGCAGTAAAAGATGGTAGCTTACGGTAGGTAAATTGTGATGTAATAATATTGGCAATTTCGGTATTACACGTTATATATCTTATTATCACGCTATATTGCATACATAAGAACAAAATTTGCTTTTTCGCCGGAAATTAGTAAAACAAGTTTCTGTGATACATCATTATACTTACACAGAATATTTAGACTATCTTATTCTCATAAAAGCACGAATCTTCTAATTTTAATGCAATAGCGGTATTCTTCTGCAATATCTATCATACTTTGTTGCACACTAGACTTCGATAGAAACATCGCTTACGAAAAAATTAATTTCGGTTTTATTCCAAACTAAAAATTACCACGAACCAGAAAAAAAACAGAAAACGAAGCATTTCTTTTTTGGATTAATCTCTCAACTATTAACCATTTTCCTGAAGCAAACTTTACACATCACATATGATGGATGATAGATATCTTGCTTAAGTATCTAAATCTTTTATTTATACTTTTGTATAAAAATAATGAATAACAACATAATATAATAAATGCTTAACGCTTAACAGCGCTTCGAAGATCTGAAGATAAAAACAACATCAGATGACAATACATAACATCTAAAGATACATACAGTATAGGGTGAAAGAATTTTTTGAGCACTTGTAGGTGTGAAGATTAGTGAATTGATACTGTAGCAGTATCGAAATTAAATAGAAGTTGATGTTAATCATCTTGCATAACATAGCTCACAAAACGAATATATTTATTCCTACTGGAGCCGTTCTATATTCAAAAGGAGACGCCATGTCATATTACGCTATCAGACTATTTATTATCGATATGATCTCATAATATTACCCATAACTAGTCATAATAATACCATAATACTGCCATTCGACTGGGTATGTGATCCTTCACTTATCTTTCCTATGAGAATAATCTGTAGTTACTTACCAAACGTAACAAATGAAAAGCAATAATCACGCTTCTTAGCAATTAACTGATTTACCTCAAAATCAACAACCATCCGAACGAAAGCTACAGCTGACCTATGAGTTCACTTTATTTTAATGTTACAGCTAATAGAAGTAATGTAAAACATAGTTTAAATTATAATACTATGCGCACTGATTTTTTTAACATATCACTGAAATTAGTAAAGGACGTTTCAAACATCTGGTATACAAATATTAGGCATCGTTATCTTATTTATTTATTTATTATTATTATATTTTAAATTAATATACTTCGCATCTTAATTACATAATTTTATTTCACAATTTCTTTAAGAATAATTATACACATAAACGCATAAACAATTAACGTATTAAAAATAAGTATTTTTTAAACAACAAAGTATGCATGTTGTGATTTTTTATTTATACAAGAGTGTGCAATCAAAATTGTCGTTTAGATTACTATTATAAAGTCTAGCAACACATTTAATTTATCCAATTATTTCTTCTCTGGTATTTGATACATAAATAAAACAAGGTTCTATCTGAATATTTTCATATTATAAATACCACATACTTTCGTTCTCAATCGTCTTAGCGCTGGCCTTTCATTTTAAATAAGAAGAAATAAATAAAGTGTTTAAAAGATTTTCAGCTCACACGCATTTCTTTACTGTAAATACGGGGAAAAAAGAATTTAATGCAATAGAAAATTGTTTACCCAGTCTTCCAAGACCCCCAAAACAGAGCAGAACTATGGTTTTTGATAAATATTTCTTGCTCTTTTCTAACGCTTCGCTTTTTTAAATAATAAGAAAAGGTACGTAACTTGTCGACCTCTTTTTCTTTACAGCAACTCTACAAAGGAGCTCGAAATGCTAATTAAAACAGCAAAAAAAGGAATTCTCCAGATAAGCCTCGAAACTCAGAATTCAAGAAAATCTCATTTAAAAAAAACCCTTTTTAACAAGAGCAGCAGCATTTTCGCAGACAAAGCAGCTTTTGAATCGCTCCCAGATTCCCAGAAATATGATTTTCTTTTTCCCTCAGCAGGAAGGTCAGGGTCAAGACAAACTTCGCTCTTATTATGCGAGAAAATGAGGTATTTAATTAAAACTGAAGAGGAGGAACAAGCGACAAGCAATAGATGTTTGCTTAACATGTGTATCCCCCCTCCAAACTCGGAACAAACGCCCCGCTCTCTAATTATAATTCTTTTAAATGGAGATCTTTTAAGATTAAAAGGAAAAGAACTTTTCTCTGAAGATTCTCTTTTAGAGGAAAATTGAATGAATAAAATTGATGATGAAAATATAGAGTTACAAAACAGATTATTCTAACACGTAACAAAGCAAATTAAAAGAATCCCTAATTTTTTTTTCTCTTTTGATTTTATACAATTTGTATTAAATGAAGCTTACGTCTAACATAATAACAAATCTATGCATGGATCAATGGTTCTCGAATTTTTCAACCTTACGTCTCTTTTCTGTCCGTATACACCTTCTACAATTTCTTCAATAACTCTGCCTATTATTGTACAGCATATGCTCTCAAAAAGTACAGCATTACTATATTATTTTAATAAATAATATCAAGGTCCTAATATTTAACAAAACAATAAATAATATACCCAGTAAAATAAATATGCAAGGAAACAAAGAAACATAATACCACAGATTTCGTACTTCGTTAAGAAGACAATGGTGATCCTTCAAGCATTGCATTTTACAGTTTGAGACGATTTATTCTGGATCATTATTTCGTAATTCTGGATGTCTTATCAACATTAACTGTGATCTAGCGTAAGAAATTTCTAACATGAAACCTACTCAGCTCAGATTGCCAGCTATATTTTGGAGTTAGCATGCTATCAAACAGGGCACAAATGATGAATACTGGATGATATATGATGAATACTGGATATAAGCAACTTCATTGTTAGACAAGGACATAGCGTTAAGTCAATTTAAAACGAAAAATATATGCCATTATATATTCCGTTTTGCATCACGACTGGTCAGCAGACAAAGCATAAGAAATGCAAATAAGATAATTCTTACGAATAATCATTCTTACAGCATCTGCATTACTAGATTAGAATACTTATAAGATGCATTTAATGGGCACTGCACTGGGTAAATTTTGTTTAATACATATTCTCTAAAACATAAAACCACTAAATGACGGTTTGGTGGTGCAGTAATCAGATGACTAGGAATATAGCTGCCGAAAATAATAATAATATTAAATTAAAAAATCTGAAAGGTTTCAGACTTTAAATTACGTCTAAAGGGACGTTTTTTTAACATTTTGTGTGTTACCTTTATTTATTAAATACCATGTTCTTCGCACTTAAACCATAAAATTCAGTTCAAGAGCAATATCGCAAAATAATTTTAAATTGAGCGTATCTTTAGAATTTGCGATACACAGTCTCATGCGCTGGAGACAAAAATAATTTTTCTGTACAACGCTGCCATTGCTCGCTTTGAAATCCTTGAGTTTTGTTAATCAAAAATTCGTTAAAGTTTTACAAAATATGAAATCGATAATAAACAAATTTCAAATTTGGGCTTCCAGATGCCCATTTTCGCAATAGGATTACGCCATTCAAAATTCGATGGCTCTAGGTACCGTTGTTTTATCACAATGCGAGAAACATATACATACTTTTATGCAGATTCTTCATTATTTAATTTCTTCAAATATAATACAGGGCGATAATATTTAGTGGCAACAGTTTGAAAAGTGAAACGGACATTCAGAGTGATTCGACGCAAAATCGCAAACGAAAACGATAGTCCTTCAGGGACAGAGCCCCTTTGGAATAACAATAATTATAATAATAAAATTTAAAACAAAAAGAAGTTGAAAGTCTTTCAGGGAAAATATATAAGAGACTTGTCGAGAATCACGCATGCGCACGCTACTTATTCCCTGACTGTACCTCGGAACAGTTGGGATCTCCGAGGTAGCGTAATATAAAGATAAGACGCAAAGCATGATTATATAAAAACGAAACAAGACACAATTCTTTATTCCTAGAAAATTAGCTCCGGGAAATATTAACTTCAGGAAAAGACAGATATTTAATAACTCTGCCTATTATTCTACAGCATATGCTCTCAAAAAGTACAGCATTATATAAGACACAAAATTATTTTGCAAAGAGGCGCTTTCCGGTTGATACACAGTTAACAAATGACCACAATCTGAATTATACATCTTGGCAACGGGTAACAAACGACTGAAAGACCATGCTTTGCGAGATATAGTGTTGAAAGTTTCTCAAAAGGGTTGAACCCTAATTAGAAAGTTATTTGTTTCGTATCGGAGAGTTTTGGGTAAAAGAGTTAACTATTCCTGTTTATTTTTGTCTCATAATAAGAGGCTATACAAGTGTGTTTACTTTCCTTTCATTACTCCCAGAACGCAATCAGCTGTAACCGCATTTAGCTTATTATTCTACCACAGACAGATTTTCGTTTTAAGAGAGTATTCATTGCTAGAAACAGCAACTCTGATAAATGCACGGAGGCTGGAAATTTTCAAGTGATCACAAAAGTACAAATTTACATAGGAAAAGCGTAACACAGATTTACTTACACGAGATCCTATAAATCTGGATATTTTAAAATATAAAATCAACAAATCGGCAAAACGTAGTGAGGTTTGCACGTGAAGACTTGCCATACAGACAAAAAAAAAAAAAAATTATGTGCGTTTGAGATTTCAGATAGGGACTATGCATCATTAGTAATGCCTTCAAAAAGAATCAATATTTTATAATATTAATTATCTCTTCCATTCTTATAGCATGATACCAACAGCGCCATTTATCAATTTAAATCTGAACTAAAATAACTTAAACCCTCCGCCAAAACTACCTTTGTAATTAAACAATACGAGTATTCACACATACCAGTT